TTATTTAATTTATTTAATTTATTTAATTTATTTAATTTATTAATTAGAGATAAAACTAAAATAATAACATATGATATATAATAGCGAACATGTGCAGTAGGAGTCGGTATTACATCAGCTTTCATTATGAATATGACGCCTTGGCCGCATACGGGAAGAGTTGAAGTTCGTCGACGTCTTGCACGTACAATATCCGACATTTGTGTTTTATATTCAATGACAATTTCATCATTGTTAAATGAGAAAATGGAATCAAAAACAAAACCATTCCGTAAACTAATCAGCAAAATAAATCGATCAATAACTATAGAACGGTTATTACTTTCACGTACAAAATATGAACCACCACTTAGAGGTAACTTTCCGATCGAGAAATATAAACAAATTATAGATATTGTAGAACATATGGTTTGTCTTGTTGGCGGATTAGACCTTATATTATGTGAATTGAATGGAACAGAATGGAAGACACAATTAGCAGATGCATTAAATCCAACCAAATGTCATTATATAACGCATATATTAACATCATTTCATATATTATCAACGGCATTGGAAAACAAAGTTCCTTTACCACCATATAATATAATTGCATCAGGAGATACAAGGTTTGGACAAGTTGGATTAGGCAGTAGGATATCAGAAAGGATCAGGAGAACAGCATCAGATCTAACAAAAGAAGATTTGGAAACTCAAGCATTTGTTTGTTATTGTGCCTATCTGATAAAAACAAGTCATCTTGTTAATGAATTGTTAAAACTTGTCTACGTTATTAAGCAATTAGTTGGTGTTAATAAGTATGTTAAGGAGTTAATACAATTTTAAAGATAGATATTAAAATTGATATTAGAATTATTAGATTAGATTAGTTTAGTATATACAAAAAAAAAAAAAACTTACGTATCAGGTATACTTAACGTTAATTATATTTTAATAATAATATTCTTATTTTTAGTATATAGTATGTGAGAATGTTATTTATTTGTAATTGTATAAACAACTGATTACTTATATAATAACTTTTATCCTATATAATATAAAATAACATATTATCGTTATCGTAATAATTCTATAACTGATAAGACCAAGTTTAGTTATCAACTTTGCCACTGATTTGTCAGAACAAAAAAGTCGTACCATTATAAATGCCGTCACACGCATGATAGCGGTAACGGCAAATAATTTTAATTCGGTAAATAATTCAATTGCATCCTAAATATGGATAAATGTTATCTTATTGTCCGTAAACCTACGGATTCTTTTAGAATAAATCTTTAGTACATTGTGTTGTCCGTACGAAATCAAGAAATTTCTGGATTTTTTTTTTTTTTTTGTTTTTTATGCGTCACACGATTTTACGGTACAGTAACCGAACAACCCTTTGTGTTCACTATATGCATTTCAAAATGGCGTGTTCTGATGTAGTACATACAAAGATCAATCGTTTTAATTGTTTAAGACTGAAATAGAATGGGTATATTAAAAAAGTATATGGTAGTACATTTAATTAAAGTTCATTTTTAGCGTTAGTGTTAACTTCACAAAAATTTTAAATAATAAACATTATTGTAACAATATGAATCCGGAATTATTTATTTTCATAATGATAGCAATATATTGATATAACGATAAATCTTGGATATCACTTCAATCAATTTAATGTCAATCATTGAATTTATGATAGATTAACCAATTTGATTTTGGTTGATTTTGTTTGGGTTACACGTATCGGTATGATTTTTGACTCAAATACTGAAATACGTATAAGAGTAATGCCAAGAGAATACGTATATACGTATTAAAAATACATAGTTACAAAACATTGAGGTGCGCGGTATACTACGTATGTAAATCAAAACTATATGTGGTCATATAATAAAATTTATTAATGAATTTTTTTTAGCTAGTGATCGATAGATAGTAATTTTATACTAT